AAAGAGGTTGACCGATACATCACATGGCCAGGCCAGGCTTTAGCATACAAAATGGGCCAGCTGAAGATCTCACAGCTGAGAGACAAAGCCCAAAAGGAACTCGGTGACAAATTCTGCATCAAGACCTTTCACATCATTGTCATGGAGTCGACTGGACCTCTAAGCCTTTTGGAAGAGGAAGTCAACAAGTGGATTGCAGGCGAAACCCATTATGCAGAGGGCAGCTAGACTTGGTGTTGGATATGTGTATTAACTTGAGGTTCCCTTTATTTGTCACTAATGTATAACAGAAAAGCAAGATAAGTATTAGATGGACAAACATCAAGAGATAAGAGCTATTAACATTGAATTATAATGTGTATGACCCTTTGAACCATCCAGTCAATTTGCAGATGTGTAATGAAAATTATTATCCTGTGATTCAAGTACATTTTTGACACTAAACTTGGTAGGTGGTTGGATATCAAGCATGACCTAAAGTCACAAGAAAGAGATGGTATTCATCCTCTAGTGTCTACTGGCACAGTTTCATTTACTTATTGTACCTTTTCTGCTGCATCAACATCAAAGGTCATTAACAGCATATTTAGAATATAGTAATAGGGTGGGGCTTGGGGGCAAAGCCACCAGGTAAGGAAGGATTGTTGTTTCATAAGGCATCCCTATATTGGGCCTCAGTCTCCATTTCCTAAGCCCCCCCCACATCAATATTGAGCAAGGGATTGGGGCTTCCAGGATAAGTTTGTGCAAGCAGTGGCACCATAGCTTGCTTTCTTTCTTCTTCTCCTTCTGAATAATTTATGGTTTCCTTCCATAAAACCTGAGCAGGATAATGGAGGACACAAAGGGAATCTGTATGTATGGGGTGTTGGGTGTCAAGGTGTCAGGCATGCTTGTTTGGGTGCAAGGCTATGTGCATAGATTTGAGTTGGGCCCAGAATCACGTTTTTGAATACCGATATCTCCCATTGTGTTTCTATGCATTGTTAGTGAAGAAAAGTATTTTTTGTTTGGGAAGGTTTATATGGGGCTAGATTTTATATGTAAATATCTATCTAAAGTTAAATTTTAAATATATTAATGGCATTGATTCTATTGAACAGATTGTGATAATATAAAAAAAAAAGGTACGAGAAAGAACTGATATACAGTACAAGAGTCATTATAGACATTTCATTTGAATTACTTTTCTGACGAAGATTTAATAAAAAATACTTTGGTTAAATCTCGTGTTCAGAAATTATTTTGTCTCATTCAAAGCCCTTTTCAGCATTTGCTTGTTTCCTCCTTTGAGCATCTGGGGGGTAATTCCTGTTAAAGACTGCACTTGAATGAATCTGTAAGTTAAAATTGATGGTAACCGTGTCATTTGCTGCCGCTGCTTGTTTTTATGTCTGTTTTTGTTTTTTCTTTTTTTCATAAAACACAAGTTGTATGTTCTAAGATTAGAGTTTGTGATTTTAATAAATATATATATATATATATATATAAAAAATGTTACTTTCTCCTCTCAACTTCTGAACTTTATCATTTGCCACAAATATTCCCACTTACATTCTTGCAGTTTTCACTGAAACTGTGGTCTCTAATAATTGCAGTGACCCTTACAAAATAGACATGCACTCTCATTTTCATTCATACTATTTCCTTCACTCTCTCACTCACTATCCTTGATATGTTTACACTTCAAATGGATAATAGATTAAGGAAAAGAAAAATGAAAAAGAAAAGGAAAATAGAAAAGAACTTGAAAAAACAGCAAATGAAGAATAAAATACAATGGAGATGTTTTGGTGTTTAGATAATTAAGGTAAAGAAAGAATGTGCCCATATTTGCTTTTGATCAAGGAATCAATATTAATATGAAAAGAAGCAAAGCAAATTTATGTAAATAGATATATAATGTACTGACTTTGGCGATGATACATGGATAACAATAACTTTACTAAACAGTGACATAACAGCAAGGCAAGGCATGAAAATCACATTTGCTGTAACTAGGTCTACCCACTGTTTTGACAGTTCACATAGAAGAAATCTGTTTAGAAGCATCTGTTTCCCAAACATTTTGAGACAGATTCTAATTTATTTCAAGGTAAAATAAAAATTTTGACTGGTAAATTATTGGGAAATTGTGGTCACTTCAGGTTTCAGGTTTCATACACAAATTTTGTACCCCCAATCCTTTGCTAATTATTGTGTGTGTGTGTGTGTGTGTGTGTGTGTGTGTGTGTGTGTGTGTGTGTGTGTGTGTGTGTGTGTGTGTGTGTGTGTGTGTGTGTGTGTGTGTGTGTGTGTGTGTGTGTGTTTTTACCCTTTTTGCCACAGTATTTTTATCACAGTGCTATATGACCTTTTATGTCTATCCCATTTATTTGTTTTAAGCATTAAAAATTACAATTCTAATAAATCTTCTCTTCTCTTTCTGAAAGTCTGTCCATATGAGCAAGTCTGATCATCACAAACAAGAATGGGCATAAAATAGAAATGATGTCAGAGGCTATTTAAACAAGTAGATTCCCCAGTGTTTTCTCCCCTGTAATGTCACTCTTACTGACACCCAAGCTGCCCAACGACAACGAGCAAGGGATTGGGGGTTTTACTCACGCAGCCCTGTTGAATATGCTTCCTAAACTTATGACTCTCTGTGCAGTACTTAATTCTGGTTTTCTATCTTCCTTTTCTTCATGCTTTCACATCAGCTTTCTTTATGGGTTTAAATGCCTATCAGAGGAGGAGATACACCCAATGAAAAATTCCAGAATATATATATATATAAACAACTCTTGAATATAGTTAGTTTGAGTATTATTTCCATCAGTGCTTTCTGATTAGGTTTTAGGTTTAGTACTTTTACCCATGATACCAAATAAAAATAGAAAGAAAAAAGTTCAATCATGATACACAACAAATGCAAGAAAAAAAAGGGGTCTTGTGGTTAACTCAATGCTGCTGGGGAAAATGAATAAAAAATGGGGAAAATGCTGTGCTTATTTCTTATATTTTTTGTGAAATGTCTCTGTACATAGATGGCTCTGCTAGTGCTTAGCCACAAAAGAGTCAATTAGTAGATCTTGTGATTTTACCTGATTTCACCTTTCTTTGAATTGGTGGGAAAAACATATATTTTACTAGTATTATAAATATTGATGGTGTTATTTTTATTATAAACATTATAATTACTATGTTATAAACATTTGTAACAGCAAAATAAGATACTGAAAAATATTTTTGTAAATCAATGAAAAGGGTGAACAGGCGAGACAGACAGTACTCATAACAGGCTCACTGGTGACTTAGTATAAGTGTAGCCATCTATGTGTAAGAACAATCAAACAAGTAAACTCACAGTGGGCATGGCATGTACGTTCATGCCATGCCCATCGCCAATAGGTTAAGATTACAGATAAGTTATTATTCTGATTGACATTATGATTATTAAATTATTATAAAATTTTGGTAGTATTAAAGACAATGTAAAATTCCAAGACATTTTTCCAAAATCTAGCAAAAGGGTAAAAGGGTAGGTAGGAGTATTAATGCCAAAAACAATTTTTAAGTTACATTAAAAAGTTGCACAACAACCTGGGTAGAAAAGGTATGTCTTTCTGACAAGCCATATTCAAAACCAGTTAAATACATCTCTTGTTAAGATACTCATTCTCATTCATACCTTTCCTACATCCATGAATATGATTCACAATCCCTTACAACCACTGTAGCCAAGCACATTATAAAGAATAATAATTTGTGGCCAGGAAACAAATAATGGGCTCTCTCTCTGTACATGTCAGGAACATTAGAGTAATTGCGAGTCAGAATGTAAGTGAAGGTTAAGAGGGTGGTGATCAGATTCCCTATGAATGTGGGTTTGCTGTGAGAGTCATGAGTGTTCGCATGCCATCTTACTGTTTAAGGGTATCACTCACTCAGCCACTCCAACAGGAAAGAGAACCCTAAGCTCTCTTTGCAAGATTTTCTATCTTTATTTCTCATGTAGGAAGAGACAATCAAATCCAATTCAAATATGCAAGGAAACAGGGGAAAATAATGGTAACCAATACAATACCAATTTTTTTTTCCTATTGGCAAGCTGCCCTCTTCTGTGAATGGCTGTTCATATCCTTAATAAAGCAATGTCAAATACTAATGGCATTTTCATTCTGTGATAATTGCTCCTAATATCTAACTCCTTTTGGTCCCCTTTGCAAGATAAAAAACAAAATACTTGAGATCCATGTAAGAAATTTTCAAATTCCTCTAATATAAATGCTTCAAAATCCCTTATTCTATATTTATAAACATTGGATTTCTCCTGTAATTAATCAACAGAAATTCTGGACAGATTAATAATTCATCAGCTCTGTGATTCCTTTATTTGAAGGAACAGAAATCTCCCATTTCTTTCCTTATCCTCTTCTGTAACTTTCCATACTCTCATTAAAGATTGTAAAAGCATAAAAATTAAATATATCTAATAGCAAACAGAAACATCTTCAAATGCAAATATTAACTTGTAAGCCTAGAATATTGTAAAAAAAAAAGAAAGCAAGAAGAGAAAATTGGAATGTAATGAATATAGATTCCAATATATATTCAACTGTAAATAAATAACTTAAAATACAATGATTACAACACATCTTTTATATCTAAATAATAAATTAAATACATGGGCCTAGGGTTAGCAACCTTGGTTTGAATAGGCCCCAGAAACCTTGTCTGTGAGCTGCCAATATTCAGAAAAAAAGCAATAATAAAGGCCAATTAAGAAAGAATATTATTTCTTAACAATAATCTCATGTCCAAAAATTACAAACAGCAGGGAGTTAAAACTTCATGGGCCTTAGATTGCTGACCCGTGATGTAGCCCATCTGAGGTCTTTGTAAATTATCTTTGGTTTGATATGTCAACACTGAACTGAATTGGTAACCTTTTCTCCTTTAGAGTCATAGTTGCATAAAGAGACCACGTTGTTTTGTTAGAGTTACAACATACTACC